TTTTTTTTATTTTTAATAGTTTCTTAATTATTTATTTTATCTTTCTATATTCTTTTTATTATTTTCTTGTACTGATGACTGTTTTTGACACTTTTCTCATGATCACTACATGTATGTATGATTACTGCTGTCACTGTCAGCAGAATTAGGCGTTCTGCCTCCCGCTCTCACAACAGTGTCGTCTGCAGACATCAGTCACAGACTCCTGCTGACCTCCTCTGTCCATCACCATCACAAACACAAAGAGCCTCAGAGCTGATCTCTCATGTAAAATCAGACAGACGGAGGTTTTTGATTTCGGCCGTCACTCACAGCTCGTCTGCGACGTGGACTTGTCCCTCCACGCGTCGTTGAGCTGGCGGTACTCCTGCTGTGCCAGGCGGAGCCTCTGCTCCTTCACCTGGTAGATCTCCTTCTGGGCGCTGAGCGCGTCGCTGGCCACGGCCAGGTAGTCCCGCAGCATGGCCTCCTGCTCCCGCTGCCACTGGGCCCGCGGGTCCTCCAGCTGGGTGCTCTCTGGAGGAAAAGATGATGAAGAGGAAACATGAGCAGGAGTTCAAAGTCTGGAAAAGCTTAAAAACCTTTTTTAGCTTTCTTTTGATGCAACAGAGGAACTGATCACAGCTTCTTAATGTACAACAGAACAGAAAAGACTGTTACGACAGCAGTGTCCCATAAACCTGCCGGTCCTTTGCTTCATGAAGCTGAGCGGCCTCCCAGGCTGACTGGTGCCTTATCTCATTCACAGAGGAGGAAGAAACAGGATGATGAGGAGACTCACTGGTGTTGTGGTCGACATAGTACGCTCCGACGACGGGGTCGTACGCCTCCTCCCAGCCGACCGGCAGCTCGTCCCCGATGCAGTCGGCGAACGTCAGAGGCTTCGTCTGCCTGAGAAACAGAAAAACAGAGTCAGAGCACAGAAAGCTCTTCATCACTCCTCATCATCAGGGCTGCCACAGATCCGGATGCAAAGGAGGGCGCTGACTCGCCTGTTTGCACGAGTTTTACATGCTTTCGTGTTGTCCGCTCGATGTTTAAGATCGAGTCCATTAAAGCTGTTTATTTGGAAACGCGTCCAAATCAAACCCAAACATTCAAACGCTGCTGAATGAACCCACTCAAACTGTTTTTATCCCCACTCGCTCTCTGGGTGAAAGCTTCTTCAGCAGCAGCAGGAGGAGGAGGGGGACAGGAGAAAGGCTGGGTGTGTAGGGGGGTGGTCCCTGTCGCTCATCACAATAGGAGGAAACCGACCCGCCACATTCCACAGGCGGTGGTGACGCATCGCCTGGAGGTTTCCGGGGCAACCTCTCGACCTTAAAGCGCCTTGGCTGACATTAAATATTAAAAATCCCACGTGGACTCATAACAGCCACGTTACCGTGTCATATTCTCCACTTCACAGTCCTGCTGTGCGTGAACTGATGTCAGGACATCAACCAGAGGAAAGCTGCCCACTCAAGACTCGTTTTATTTTTTATATTATTCCTACACGACATCTTTAGAAAGCGATTTATAATTTAATTTTGAAATTATATTAACTATATGGAAATGGATGGAAATGAAGGATGCGCCTCCATCTGAGCTGTATTTGTATTTATAGCTTCGCCAGC